CTGAGTGCCCGAATGCTCGTGCTCCAGTCAACTACCAGCCAATCTGCGGCATCTGCCACACTCAAGGCTTGCACACTCAGGAAACTTGCGCCAAGAACCAGACCAGCAAAATGAACCTCCGTCGCCCTCGAGCTTCTCAGAGTCCCGATGTGGACACACACTCTGTGCAGCCTTGTTTTGGAACTCTGGCCACCTTGGCTGTTGCCCAAGCAGCTCGCGCTCCTGCAGCCCAAGAGCCAGCACCAACTCACCATTCGTTGCGGCTCCTCAAGCGCCAAGCGCGCCTCCCTGAGCGCCAGCAGCAGCGCCAACCTGCATGCCGCCCACAAGTGCCCATTTTGCTGCCATCCCCGCAGAGTCCTTCGTTATTTCTGGGTGCTCTAATGAAACGGTTACGTTTCCACGGGCCGACGTCCAGTTTGAGGCATTGCCGCCTCTTCCACCTCGTGCTACCATAGTGCCAACACCAGCAGCCTCTCAGCCCATGGCTCCTGTGCCTCAGCATCCCTCCTCTCCACCACCTGCCCTCACAGCCGAGGAGATTGAGCGAAAGAAAAGATACAAATGGGTGCTCAACCTGGAAACGCGCCTGTATGATATTCTCCGCGACCTGGAGAATCAGATGCCGTTTTATCCAGCTACTTCATGCAGCACCTGATCTTCGCAAACCAGTTTCTTCTGCACTCCGTGCTCATCACGAAGAAATTGATGTTCAAAGCGTCTGGCCATTTTATGTGGATTATGGCCGCTCCAGCTGTGGACGCTGAAATCCAGACACATAAAATCAGTTCTGCCACCATCGACGGTGGCAGCGCAGTGAATCTGACGCCGTATGAGACCTATGCTCGCCTGGATCTTCCTGAACCTGCTCCTTCTTTCGCTCAATCTCCTCGGCTGTGAGGGCAGGTGGTGGAGAGGAGGGATGCTGAGGCACAGGAGCCATGGGCTGAGCGGCTGCTGGTGTTGGCACTATGGTAGCACGAGGTGGAAGAGGCGGCAATGCCTCAAACTGGCCGTTTCATTAGGGCACCCAGAAATAACGAAGGACGCTTGAGTAGCTGCGAGCGGGGATGGCAGCAAAATGGGCGCTTGTAGGCGGCATGCAGGTTGGCGCTGCTGCTGGCGCTCAGGGAGGCGCGCTTGGCGCTTGAGGAGCCGCAACGAATGGTGAGTTGGTGCTGGCTCTTGGGCTGCAGGAGCGCGATCTGCTTGGGCAACAGCCAAGGCGGCCAGAGTTCCAAAACAAGGCTGCACAGAGTGTGTCCACATCGGGACTCTGAGAAGCTCGAAGGCGACGGAGGTTCATTTTGTTGGTCTGGTTCTTGGCGCAGCCGGTGAGGACAAGTTTCCTGAGTGTGCAGGCCTTGAGTGTGGCAGATGCCGCAGATTGGCTGGTAGTCGACTGGAGCACGAGTATTCGGGCACTCGGGAGCAATATGGCCGAGCTGGCAGCAGCGAAAGCAAACGATCGAATGCTGAGCTCAACCCCGTCCAGGTACGTTGCTGGTTCTTGCTGGAACAGCAGCATAAACAGGGACAAGATCTGGTGTGTACGTATCATAGCACCCCAGAATCCCGGGAATATTCTCGGAATATTCTTCTGCCACCCGGCCACGACTCTTCGCGACAGAATATGGATCTTTAAAGAGAAGAAGAGGATGTATAAGGAGAGAGAAGAAATAAAGAAGATGCCGATTCGTATAACTCAACGAGAACAATCTCGAGCAATGGCGATCCTCAAGCACATCAATTGCCAACTGCACCAGCGGAGAGAGGCAGCATGTCGAACGATGTAGTTGCCGCCATGGACAAGAGGACATTACGTCCCTGTTTTCTTTTCCCTTTCTTCACTGACACTCAACATGGACCTGTGGAAGAACCTCCAGCTATGCTCAAGGAGTGTGTCGAAGTCACAGATTCTTTCCTTGTTCTTAATTTTTTCCCATGGGCCCGGAGGTGATCAGATGGAATGTCGAGGCATGAAGCTTGTGGCTATGGAGGTGATCAGTTTTGTAGCCTACTTCCATGATAACTTATAGGCAGGAGTAAAGGAGGTACATGAAGCGAAGGACGTGCTTGAGGTGAAAGTCTTCATGTCCTCTTTGCATTGCTTCCTTTCTCCACTGATGGAGATTATCTTACATGCTCGTATCGGGAGAAGAGCTCCGTGATTATGTTTGCTAGCATGTTGGCGAAGTGAGATCCTTGTGAGAGAAGCATGAGTGTGATCTAGATGAGTGTGCGACTAGTGTTTGTGATCGATGCCATGGAGCATGCGAATGCTACTATATATCTAGGTAAATTCAACACTAAACAGTCTCAAACAAAAACATACCAACTCACAAAGTCTGCCACGGTGAAAATGTCTGTATCCCAAGGTGAAAGCCTTAAGAGAAAATATCTGGTCTTTGCTCAGTCACCTCTGTCATTCTTGGGGAAGGGTCTTAAGACTAACTTGATAGCCCCCCTGGTACATGAGACGCTCTTTTTTCCTTCGTTCCGCTTCTACCTTCCTCAGGTTGCCCAGCTTCTTAAGAATGTCGATTTCATCCTGTTCAAGGTTGGTAAAGCACTGGCTCAGCTCAAGCTCATGCGTCGTGTATGCTACCTTCCCTTCCTCTGCACTATGTGAAACAGCTCTGCGCTTGGTCGGGGCTGGGCAGATGTACACACAGTGCACCATGCAGTGTCCAGTATACCAGTGTTGAATCTCTTCTTGCGTCACACACTTGTACTCTGTCTTCCCGTGTGTTTCTGGACTAACAGTCACCTGAAGTGCAAGGATATGTAACACTCGCTGCTCGTTTACCCACGCTAGCACGCCGTCTGCATACTTGAACGGGTACTTCCCAGGCAACATGTATCTTGCCTGGTGCGGCTTCCATTGATCTGGCCTGATCACTGCTGGTTCACCCTTTAAAGCCTCCAGCTTAAATACTTCGATTTGTTCCCCTTGAAAGTTCAACCCGTGGATAGCCTCTCCGACAAAACCCTCGCAAGTCCACCCCACTTCCGGCCAAATCACGTTGGCTTTCTTGAGTTTGTGCAGAAGGTTCTTGAACTCTGGTGAGCAATAGACTGTGCCCTTCAAGCGCTCTAAAGCCGCTTCTACATGTACCGCATAGAGATAGCTGGTGCAAAAAGATCCATTGCAAACATAGCCCTTCTTGATGTAGTCTGATGCATTCAAAGTCCTGAAGTTAAGTAGAACCATTTCCCAGTCTCGCTTTTCGTCCAGGTACTTCTTAGTTCTTGTTCATTATCCGGATCCATTGTACACAGGCTGGGAAAACGTCTCTTCCTGTTGACGAATGCCTCTGTGATGTCTTCGACATACTCTTTACGAGCCTTGTTTAGGAAGATGGGTGCTTGTCAGCATAAAGAGTAACATCCGCTTCACGTTCAGGATGCTCTTGAAGCAACTTGCCGAGGAGGGTCTCTTGCAGGAATGCAGTATACTCGTTCTGCACATAAATTTATCCTCTCAGGCAGAATAACTATTATGGGACTATTACCTGGCCAAAGACGACATGCCTCAGCGCTACCGCCTCATGGTATTTGGGATGTTCTGTGCAGGAGGCAAGGCCTTAACTACGAAGTCAGAGGACCCCTCGAAGGTAGTCATCAAATTTCTGGCCTTCGCCTGTTCTTCAAGTATGCCATCCCAGTGCAATGCAACAAACTTCTCTTGGCCATCGCAAAGCAGAGTAATGTGATCCCGGCCACTCTCGTCTGAGACAAGAATTCAGCAAGGTCCTCGGGAGAAGAGACACTCAACCACATCCTCCACCTTAATTCCACACTCGAAATTTGTCTTTAGTGGCTCTAGCCTCGCACTGCTGTACGGCAGCAAGTCTATAGCTTCATTTGTGGGATATAAACCCTAAGTATTCTAAGAAGAATATGCCAAATACTCAAATCTTTTAGATTTAATGGTTATTATATCTTTGGTAAGTTTTTGGATTTCATAAGAAGTCACCAATAAAGATGTTTAACCTCAAATATCCCAAAATTTGTAATCGATTGGAAAAAAAATACATTCTTATTCATAATTTTTTTCCTTTTATATTTAAACTTTCATGTTTAAAAATACCACCAATTGCCTTCTTTCCCAAGTAAGTGTTATCTTGAAGAGTTGGATAGTCAGCTATATATAATAGTAGTGGATATGAGCTTTTGGATGGTTTTTTTTAGGCCACTCGTCCCATGGCTGTAAAGTGATCTAGCTGTGAAGAGTGAAATATTTCTCTTATAAAAAAATTGCTTGCATTGTTGCATTCGGCAGAAAAATCTTCTCGACTGAGCTTGAAATGGTATGACTTATTTGACGAGAAGTTGTCCACACAGATTGCTCCTGCCGAACACTGTCTGCCTGATATTGTTGAGAGAAGCTTGCTGGAGAAGTCCCAAACTCGAACAAGGCTGTGGTTGTCCACCGCAAAGGTACTCATCGCTTCAATCATCCTGCTTGTCTCCTCCTGATGCAATGGTTCATGAGCAGCAATCTGGAGAAGAGATAGTTGGACGCAATCCTTCACAAGTTACGCCAGTGCTCCCCGTAGGGAGCCAAGCCGACTGCTTGCCACAAACTCGCAGCTCTCGTGCCACTTCCGGCTTGCTGGTGATGACCATCCTAATGTTGCCCAGGCTGAAGACCATGAGCTCCTCTGCATGGTACCTCTTGGCGAGCTTGGCCAACTTTCGGTTTCAAGGATTCCTGTTATCCACCAATAGTTTTTCCAGGCATGCAGCTCCGGATAATCTCCTTGTCCGTCGTTATAAAACCTGAATTCGAGACCATCTCCAAAACCTTTGCTTCTTCCTATGCATGGCCACCAGGAACAAGCCAAGGAGCCAGGACTGCCAGGATTGCCAAGAGCTCGAGTTTAGGAGATTATCCCTTGAAAAACTATTGGCGGATAACAGGAATCCTCGAAATGGTAAGTCTCTAAGGGACTTGTATTGTTAACGCTCACACTCAGGTACGTTAGCTTTCCGGCTGAAGAGAAAGGTGGCAAAGTTGCACTAATCAGAACAATGTGGAAGAACACTAAAATAAGTCAATTTTTGACAAAGCCGTGTTCTGATTTTTTCTTGCTTCCAGCTGGTTTTCAGTGCATGCTCACTACGCATCTTAGGCACTGTGATTGCATCAGCAGCTGAATTGCGTCGTTGATCTTTTCAAACGGAAGAGTGTGCGTCACGAACTCGTCAACCATGATCTCCTGTAGCGGGAAAATGAACAAGGAAACAGCATTTCTATACCAGTACCTTTCGCATGTACTTCTCTACGAGTTCATGGATCTGCGATGGTTTGTATCCTCCAAATATGGTTCCTTTCAAGGAGTGGCCGAAGAGCAACTTTACCGGATCCGTGCTGAGAGTTGCTGGTCCGCTTGGAACTCCGGCAACGATGGTCACTCCCCAGGCCTGGATTACACACACATCAGAATCGACGCTTGGACAAACTAGGTGGATTCACAAACGTTGTGCGTGCTCTCGAATGCCGCTTGCATCAACGCAGCGCTTCCAATGCACTCGAAGCTGTAGTCTACTCCACCTTGGCAGAGTTCCATTATCACCTGCGAGCAGCAGCAGCATGCAAGATGATGATCTGACAAAAACTCGTGGATTTTGGTACACCTCTTGGATGGGCCTGTCGTGATCTAGAGGATTGAGGAAGTCTGTGATACCAAACTGCTTGCCTTCGAGTTCAAAACACCAAGTAAGCTCTTTTTCTCTTTTGAGTTTTCCTTGATTAGAAGCAAAGCGCTCACCTAGCTCGTGTTTCTCAGAGTTGATGTCCACTCCAATAATTCTGGAAGCACCAGACAACTTGGCCGCCTGTGCTATCTGCATTGACACTGGATCTAGTTCCCGGTTTCTCGACTCGAGTGGCAAGAACATGACAACTCACAGCCAGTCCCACGGTGCCGAGCCCAAAGATCGCCACAGTGTCGTCCTTTTGGAGCTTGGCAACGTTCCAGACAGCTCCCACTCCTGAAAGAAGTAAAAGCTTGGAAGGATGGATGATCGAGAAAAGTAGTACCCGTGGTGATGCCACAACTTAGAAGACAAACTTTGTCAAGGGGAGCTCGTTTGGGGACTTTGGCAAGGCAGCCTTTGTTGACAACGGTGTACTGGCTAAAGGTCGAAGTTCCCATAAAGTGGGAGATCTCGACGCTCCCTTGCTTGAACCGGGTGCCATCTCCGCCGTAGACTCCAGCATATTCGGGATTGACTCGCAGCGAGCCGCACAGGTTGGTCTTTTGGGATTTGCAATACTTACAGTCGCTACACTCGCCTGTGAAGATTGGAATGACGTGGTCGCCCTCACAAAGATTGCTAACGCCCTCTCCAACGCTCTCGACGATCCTGGAAGTATCAAGGTTTGATTTTGGGAAAAAACGTTGCGGAAGAAACAGCGGTTTTGGTCCTCACCCAGCGGCTTCGTGACCGAAAATGCGAGGGAACAAATGCTTCATTCCCTGGTGGAAGTTAAGGAACAAGAAATCGAGAGAAAAAAAGAGAAATCGGGGAAGAACTTCGAGAACTTGAAGAAGACGAGTACCTTATTTTGCCAGAACGTTATGTCCGTCTGACACAGTGAAGTGTGCGTGATTTTGATCCGGACTTCGTTGGATTGAGGCGGAGAGACTTCGATGTCTTCGATCTGGAGTGGAGCTCCAGGCTCCCACGCAACAGCAGCTATAACACATTTTCTATCCATTTTGGATTCAATTCGACAGTAGATCTTACCTCGGCATTTGATGATCTTGTTCCTGGAGCTGGAAGAAATCCCTGCTCGAACGATCCTGTTTAGGAACACCATTTCCTCGTTTGGTAGTCTTTGTCTTCAAGAATTTACTCTTTCTGGGAAATCTTGGCATATTCTAATCGTCTAAGAATGTACCACATATTATTTAACATAAATCTCATATGGATAAACCCTAATGTTTCTTCCTGGCTATGGCGGGAGTGGCTGTTTGGAATGTGGTGGAGAATCTCCACGCCCAGGATTTGGTCGGCGGCGTATTCCAGGCGGACGAGGCGGTGCTGGCGGCGCTCCAGAGCTTCAGCCGTGCCGGCGTCGTCGCCGCGCACAAGCAGCTCCGCCAAGAGTCCGCGGCCATGGAGGCGGTAAGCAAGAGCCAGGGTACGTACCGCGGCTGCGTCCCTAGCTATATGGATCCGCACGGATTGCCCTCCTTTCCGGTGCCGCTGGTCACGAGTCGATCCACTCTCTGCAAGAATGTGGGGCTTGTGGATCTGGAGCCCGGCCGAGCCAATCCGGGCAGTGTTCTTCACGGGTTTCTCCGAGTGGAGGCCTTTCGCTGCTCCAATGTGGCCGTGACGGCACTGGAAGACGACAGTGGAAGAATGGCGAGGGTCTTGGCTCTCAACTCGCTGTTTTGGAATTCCTCACAGGAAGAAGTGGCAAGGATTTTTCCAGAGGGCGCGGAGGTTCTTGTGAAGCACCCATGCTTGGTGGAAGCGGAGTTTTGCCAGGGCCTGGCACTCTGGGTGCCAAATCCACTCTCGCTCGAGATCGTCTCTTACTTCCCTCGCATGGAAGTTGGCGAGCCGGATGTTTATCTCAGCTGGGGAAGCAAGGAACTCGACGAGAGGAAAAACTTCTTGGCTGCGGCGGATCTCTTCACTCGCTGTCTCGAGTGTCTCCGAGCTTGTGGAGACGAGACCAAGATGGTGGTGGCTCTCGTGAGGCGAGCCGAGGCACGTATCAAGCTCGAGCGCTACGAGGAGGCACTGGCCGACGTCGAAAAGGCACTGGCACTGGATCGTCACGACTTCAAGAGCCTCGCAGTGAAAGGAGCGGTGCTGCTCGGGCTCAAGCAGTATGGATCTTCCACCTCGTGCTTCAAGCAGGTGGCCGAAGTAGAAGCCTCTCCAACTTACAGGAGCTTGTACGATGCTTCGCTGCGTTTCAACGAGCAAAGCGAACGTGGAGTTTACGATCTCTCGGAGCATTACCTCGCAGCTGGAGCAAATGTGGAAGAGGATCGAGCCCCGGAGCTTGCAGACTTCGTTGGTCCCGTCAAGGTGGCGATGACTCGAGATGGCCGAGGGAGGGGCCTCTTTCTCACCGAAAGCGTCTCCGTGGGACAACTTCTTCTCGTCAGCAACGCGGTAGCAATGGTTTTTCCAGACGAGGACTGCCCGGTTTTGGAGGTGGATAAGTTTGGCACTCTTCTCACGGCGGTGCTGAGAGCCTGCATGGCTTCTCCCAGGACTCTGGCACAAGTGTACAGCTTGGCCGAGAGCGATCCTGTCACAGGATTAACTATCGACAAGAACGAGGTCCCAGAGATGGAACTCTTCCAGCCAAACACAGGTTCTCTCGAGCTCCACGAGGAGCTCCTTCTCGATGTTACGCGCATCGCAAACATCCTCCACTGCATCAACGAGAATGGAAAGGCAGCGGACACTCTTGTCACCAGAGACTTCGATGGCTTGTGGACGCTTCCAAGCTTCCTGAACCATTCGTGCCTTCCAAACGTTGGTGTCCACTACGTTGGAAAGGCTCTCTTGGTGGTGGCCGCAAGAGATATGGAGGCCGAGACGGAGCTCGTTCGATCGTATGGCAGTGCTCTCGCTCCCTGGAACCCGATGAGGCGGGAGTCCATCAGAGTGGAATGCCGGTGCGAGAGGTGTGCTCTGGAAAAACGACTGGAAGAAGAGCTCCGGGATGTAAGCCAGAGATTTGACGCGCTGCTCAATGCTACCTCAATGGTGGAGTCGGAGTTTCACAAGCAGCTGGGAGAGCTAGCAGTGGAGCTGGAGCGCAAAGTTTGGGATATGGATTTGAGAGAAGCCGAGAAGCAGTGGCTCCGGACGTCGTACTGCCTGGCTTACTTGTCTTTTTATTTGAGAAACGAGACTTGTCAAAGAGAGAAAACGATGCCTTTGAAGGAAGACATCGCTCGAGCTCTTCACTCGACTTCTCCTGGTTTTAGCAAGACCCTGATGGCAATGTGCTGCTTGCTCGAGGATGGAAATGGCAGCGGAGGGCTCCTGGAAGACGAATGCTTTGCGCTTTGTGGACGTCAAAACCATGAGGTTGCCGCAGCCATTGTCAAGCAAGCCAGATACAAAGGTAAGGAATTCTTCTGGTGAGGATAATTTTTTAAACAAAGCTCTTCAGAAAGATTTTTACTTCCATAATTTTTATACTTTTTTGAGGATTTTAAATAAGTACCTACACAATAAATTCTGTTACATAAATTTTTGCTTTTTACCATTTACTGTAAATAATATTAATTATTTATAGATAGTAATAAATTTTTAGAAAATATTTACTATCATATTTTACTATAATAAGTACTTAAAAGAGTTATAAGCTTTATATATTTTATTTATTTTGAGATATTCATTAAGACATTATTTCATATGATAACTCTTAACATTTATATTTTGTGATGCACTATTATTGTTCCACTTGTATATGGCTTAGGCATTCAACAAACTCTGTTTGGACTAGTGGAAAAATGTGTAATCGATTATATTTTTCATTCTACTTTAGTCACTTAACCATACCTTTAACCACTTGGAAGAGTTTCACTCACAACCTTCGTAAATTCTATTTTGGATTTAGGGACTTGTTAGCCTCAAGAATAACATCCATGCCACTCAACCATTGCACTTAGTTCAAGTGCTCCACATGTTCGATCTTATGACTGACACCCCAAGGTACCACTGACATATCAGCTTGTTATACTAAGGCCATGCCCATTCACCTTGGTCACACTGGTGGTCTAACACCACTTACATCACAGCCCCATCTCTCAAAGACTGTGCCATCTATCTATGAGTGATCATCCCAGATCCACTCTTTAGCATCCTTAAGATGCCCGTAGGCATGGGGAATAGCCTTCCCCAATATCCCTTTTCTAGTCCCCATCAAGTCTTTTTTTGCCCATGGCCGTGTTCGCCAACATTGCCATTGGATCGAGGCCCACAAGCTCAACCACTAAATCCCATGGTCTTTTGGGACTTCCTCACCACCCGACTATATCCTTGGTCACTACACCAAAGGATTACTCCTCTTCCTTTCCATAGTCTGGGCCTTTGGGACAACATTTTGGAACACCATGGCCCTACGTGAGCCTTATGGGTACTCTCCCCGCCTTCCACCTTTAGGTGCTTTATCCATGGGCTTAGAGCAAGGTTTCGTTAAGCCACGCCAGGTATCCAAGTAGGTAGTGCCACCCACACTTGGACTAGGAGCATTGACCATTTGATCTCCTGGGGGAACTAGAGCTAGCTCTTGAACACTTCACCAAGCTACCCGGCTTGTCAGACCATATTCACTTTAGTTTTGGACTTCCCAGTAATTATTTCATCACCCAACACCTGGGTACAGCCTTCTTGGGACAAACTGGCCTTTCCTGGCTAAACTGGCTCCACTGGAGTCCTCCCCCTACTATACTTTTGGAGCTCACCAAACCCCCCAAGGTCTGGGAGACGAATGCTTTGTGCTTTCACCCCCTCAGACTTGAACTCGGACTTGGACTTGGACTTGAACTCAGACTCAGACTCGGGCTTGGGCTCGGTCTCGGCCTCGGCCTCGGTCTCGGTCTCGGTCTTGGTCTCGGTCCCGGTCTCGGTCTCGGTCCCAGTCTCAGTCTCGATCTCGACTTCGGACTCCATCTCGGGTCCTTCTCAGACTCCATCTCATATTCCATCTCAGACTCCATTTTGGACTCCATCTCAGGCTCATCTCAGACTCCATCTCGGGCCCATCTCGGACTTCATCTCGGGTCCATCTTGGACTCTATCTCAGACTCCATCTGGGGTCCATTTTGGACTCCATCTCGGACTCCATTTCGGGTCCATCTCGGACTCCTTTTGTGTCATTTTTCTAGAGACTCACTTATTGCTTGCTTTGTGCTTGTTCCTCGAGCACTTTGTTGGGAGTTCCACTCTTGCTCTTGACCTTTCAAGTCGGAGCTTTTAGTTCAAACGTGTTACGTTTGTTTGGCTTTCGCTTCGGCCACTACCACGTGGCACCCTTTTGGCTCCACTTTGGGGCTTAGGGATTTTGTGTCTCACAAAATGCTCGTCAAATATTGATCCCAAGATTTAATATCAGTAGTTTGTAGCAATTGTGAAGGTAAACTCAACTCCATTAATAATATTGGATTATAACTATATAGAAGTTTATATGGTGAAACACCAACAAAACTCTACACCCTTGTGACAACCACATAGTGAAAAGATGGTGAATAACTATCTTAATCCGAATGCTGAAATTTCATATACTTCATAATCATCAATTTGAAGGTCCGAACAAACCCTTCCACTAAACCATTTGACTGTGGACGATAGACACTTGTAAAAATGTAGTGTATCCTCAACTGAGATGTTAAAACAAGAAATGCCTCAACTATAAATACGGAACCATTATCCTAAAGAATTTGTTCTAAATAGGAATGTTGGAATGCTATTTGATTGAGAAATAAGTATCTAACAACAGTTACAAATTGTGCAACTCCACTTCCCCATCCTAAAAAGTTCTCTATTTAAGGGCACTATCATCCTTTCTTGTATTTCGTGCCTCCTTAGGCACTAAGTTCCAGTTATCATAATTTGTGCTAAGGTTGTCCATGCCCCTATCATTTGGCTACCTTACTGCTCTCTCCTTTGGAGATTCTTCTTTCGCCAAATCAGAGCAATTGGGAATCCATCTTTGGAAACATCTTGCCTTTTCCACAATTCGTTAGTCCCTAACACATTAGTGTTCTTGGCCTAACTTTGCCTTTTGGATTCTTTCCCATGGTTCCCATGGCTCTTTTTTTAGCCATTGGTCTTTTGCTTCTATCCTTTGATAGTTGCACCCAACAACATAA